GGACTTTTCCAAGTGATGAAAAATATTCAGCTTCACTGCCATGCTGAAGAATCATAATCATACAATTGTTTAGAAAGGAATCCTTAGGGAAGTTCATCAAGTTAASCCAGCRCTACCAWGCCCACCACTAAACARTATCTCWAAGTRCCACATCTACATTTCCTTTTAAATACCTCCAGGGATGGTGACTTCACCACTTCTCTGGGCAGCCTGTTCCAAAACTTAACCACCGTTTCTTCACCACAGTGAAGAAATTTTTCCAGATACCCAATCTGAACCTTTCCTGGCACAAGCATCCTGGCATCCAGTGAAGGATGGAGAYTCTCCTTAGCCCTCCATTTGTTGYKAATGTATTTACAGAAGGATTTTTTTATTGTCTGGCAGTAGCCAGGTTAAGTTCTAGCTGGGCTTTGGCCCTTCTAATTTTSTCCCTCCATAGCTTCATGATATTCTTGTCCTTYTGAGTTRCCTGYCCCTTYTTCCAGAGGCCATAAACTCTCCTTTTTTCCCTGAGTTCCAGCCCACACTATGTTCTGCTGCACACTCCAGGAACCTTGTCAACTGTTTACTCTCTGCTGTATTTCYAGCAGAGATCTGGTAAGGAGAAGTCCCCCACAAGAACAAGGATCAGCAATTGTGAAATCCCAGCTGCTTCCATAGTCTGCTATCTGCCTCTTCACCTTGGATGGATGATCTTTAACAGATTCCCTACCAGGATATCTGACTTTCAGCCTTTCCCCTCTCATATTTGCCCATAAAGACAGAACCCTTCTGTCACCATCAAATTCTAGACAATCAAAACACTCCTTAACATATATGACTACCCCCAAAAGTGGTCAGGGTGTTAAGTAGAGACTGTCAGGCTTGGGTAGCCTGTTGAAGGTTGACAAGAGTGGAAAGAGCCATTGGTCTGGGAACCCCAATTCATACATTCTGCACAGGCTATTTTTACTGCCAGGCATAATAGAAGAGGGAGATTCCAGGTGCCTTCACATGGTTCTGCACCTCAGCTCTTTCTGCACAGCCCCAGACATGCAGATGGTGACAGAAAGTTTAACTAAGATTGCAGAGGCACAGGGGAATACAGAGGRGGAGATCTCTTGGAAAGAGAGAAAATTATTGTTTGAAGAAGAAAATCTGTCCCAGAGGCTGTAGTTGTACTAAGCTAAACAGCAATGGGCTCATCCTTTGGTTCAGAGATGGATTGATAAAATGTGTGACGATACTGTTAAATTGAGCTGGTCTCCAAAGCAGGGCTGCCATATTCCCTATTTGAAGCAATTCCTGCTCATGCTACAGTTTTGAATCTCATCAGCAAGGTATTGGGTCAGTTGGCCTAAATCAACTATTTAGGAATGTAACACTGAAGAATACTATTGGGAAGAGATGTCCTGCTGTGATCCCCTTTCCCATGGGCTCCTGCAAAAGTTCCCTGCCAATTGCCTGGATACTCTTGCAGCCATTATGCAACACTAATCCACTTCCAGCGTCCTTCCTGGAACAAGGCTGTGCAACTCCAAGGGCAGGCTGTGCTGTGGGAAGTAGGTTCTCCCAAACAGGCCAGCAAGTAATGGCAGCATTTCACAGCCAAGGCTAGAACTGGCCAGAGCACCAAGTTGCCAAATAGCTCTGGCCCAGATCCACAGAAATCGCATCTGCTCTTTCCTCTGGGCTGAACCTGCACTGCCAGAGGCAGTTCCACAGCTCTGCACTGCTCTCCAAGGGATACAGCTCTTGGCTCCTGTCTGAGTCAACAGCTGCTTTTGCCCAATGTACTGTGACTTGGTTTGCTACTGCAAAATATCCTGCCTGCACAAAGGCTTTAAATACATGCTAGACATACAGGCTGTGGTCTGAATATTCTTTGAGGAGTGGGCAGTTCTGCTCAGAGTGCAKGCTACTGAAAATTTGACAGTAATAGCATAACGAGCAAGAAAAATGCAGGATAAATAAGAGGTGGGGGGAAGCAGTAAATCAATGTATTTTCCTGGCATTTTGTCAATACCAACTTTAGACAAYTTCATTACAGTGATGAATATGCAGGCCACAAGCTTCTAACAAATCAGTCAGCTTAGCCAAACAATCCCCATTTACTATCAAATCTATTTAATGGGAATAATTTAGGGAAGATCAGCTGAACTGTATTGACAAGCTGTATCTCCTGTCTCTGAAGRTATCACTGGAGAACAGATGTCTTTCTTTCTCTGTGTAATTCCCCATCTTCCTTCTGTGTACCAATTCCATGATGTCTCTAACAGAATCAGTGGTTGYGAAGAGGTGAAAGCATGGTATTGTAGCTACCCACACAGAGTTACAACTTGCCTTATATTGCTTAAAATTCAGTCCAAGTCATGCCTAAGGTGTAAATTACCTTTTTTTTTTTTGTGATGAAAATTATATATTCTATGCAAATACTGTCTACAGGCACAGAAACTTTGGAGGGCTGTAATCTCCACCAATCTTGTGCAAATGGTGAAATTCAAAATAACTATACTGGTGTGAAACAGAAAATCCAAACCTGATAGTTGGGGATTTGGGCAACACCTGTTTAAAAAAAAAAAAAAAAAGAAAAAAGCACAAATCCAAAAAAACATGTAACATGTCCCTGTATTCTGGCTGCAATCATGCCAGTAAACAGATTTTTTTTTCTTCCATGAGCACAGGGATGGTTGGCACAGGAAACAAGCAMTAGCTGCCAGGCAGTTCTACTTGTTAAATATAGTCATTCCAAATTGGGTAGCACATTCCATTTCCTGGCCCTAGGCGAGGCAGGGGTTTTCCAGAGCGCTCCTCAGTGCTGCGTCAGAGAGCATTTGGCCTGTGCATTACATCTCAGATGCATTATGATTTTATTTAGAACACACTTTAGCTCTGCAGGCTGCAGAGGCAAAGTGCCAGTCTTCAGCAAGAGGGGGAAGGRCTATAAATAGAGCAGGCTGGGTTGCCAAAGGCAGCTTTTGGTCTGCCTAATTTTCTGGTTTAGCCTGAGAGAAGCAGAAACCCACTCTGCTGAGGAGATACTGAACAGTACAGGCAGAAGCCACAGCTCTTCTCTCCAGCCAATAATTGTCTTTCCTTCTCTGGGTACACAGATACAGCTACTTACCATAATGAACAAGGACACCACCTTCCATCTGTGCTTTCCTCCAGCTCTCAGTTTTTTGCAAGCTCTTGATATGCAAACTGCCATGTGTTTTCATGAACAAGGGGAACACATCCTTTCATTTCCAAAACAAGAAATAAAATGAATCCCAAAATTAAGAGCACAGAGGTAACACATATTTCATATTTTCGAGGCCAATGGAGCTGTAAGAGTTGTTAATAGTTGTTGTTCTAAGTTGCATCCACAAAGGAGATCTCCCTGGTGTTGTTTGAATGAAGAAGGGACATTTTTGGTTCAGGACAAGTACATAAAAATAGCACCTAGAGGCCATTCCTGTGCTCAGATTTTTGTTTTCCCTCACCTGTACCTACACTGAGARCTTTTTCTTCTCTTACTCTGTACATGACTCAAGAGTAATTGTTAAAGAGAGAAACCATATTTCCACCATGTTCCACTGCCTTTCACACCTTTTAGTGAGAATATTTTATTTACAGCACAAAGCTAATGGAAGCTWTCTTTGAACAGTGCATTTTAAACTCAAAACTCTTGAATTTTTTGAACTTCACACCCCCAAAACAAGCTGCAGCCAAGAGTGCAGAGCAATGGTTCCCCCTATTCCCTCCTGCTGGAATACACCCTAAGAGGGACACTGAAAATAATTTCAAAATATGCTCTCAGCATTACGCCATGCMCAAAAGCAGATGGCATTACTTGGGTCAAAAAAATCATACATTAAATATTAAACTTGAAAGCAAACCATCAAATCTTAGGGAAGACAGCTGATCTCATAAATCTTTGTCTTCCACAAAATATTTAGCCTGTGTTCCCTGTGTTTTCATCCCTGCTGATCCTTGCTAAATCTGAGATACAAGAATCCAAGTTTGTAGGAAAATTAGAGCAGAGTATCGGTGACCTACAAAAACCATGGATTTCCACAGACACACTGCATTTATGGTCTGCTGCAATGTTCCTCCTGCTCACCCTCTGCTATGCAGGCATGAAGGATTCATCCATTGCACGAAGTTTAGGGCTAAATAGCCTGTAAGCCTTTTCTATCCTTGGGTGCCTCTTTTTTCTCAGCTGGTTTAATCAATGAAGATACCCAGGAGTTAGTAAGGACAATTTTATCACGYTTGTATTTAGCTGGAATCTTAAATGAGAGAGAACATCTGAAGTCACTCTGCCAAAGCTTGTCCCCAAAACAGCACTGACTGACAATATACAGGCTAATCTGCATCCCATTTCTCTTCTTGTGATTTAGTTAAACAGTATCATTTTTCTGACTCAAGCTGTTATTTGGAGGGGAAACATTTCTAGATTTTGGGAAGCTGTAATTCCTTACTGATGCTGTGAGAGAAGTGTATCAAGATCCAGTTTCAAACCATCAGCACATTCAGACCTATCAGACCTGCCTTACCCTCTAGCACATGGTTTGCTGCAACAGAGAACTCATTGATCCCCAGCAAACTGGAGAGACAGAATTTGTCAGGTATCATTTCCTCATTCTGAAATCTGAAAAAAGTTKCTCTGCAAATGGCCACAAAGGGCTTTTCTGTTGTTAACATGGACAAAGCCAACATTTTCCCATCACAATCTGGCTTCAGAAATAATTACTTTTATCTGAAACTTGCACATTCAAGTTAGCTGAAAGCTAATACCAGACAAAGAAGTGACAAATTAAATAATTAGATCAYCATACCTCCAAAACCAGCTGTGCCTCATAAGAACTAGCAGCAGCACACAGTGGTAAAATTAGAAAAGAAACACACTGSAGAGAGAGAACAGGGAGTTACAAAGAGAAGTTCAAGTGAAACTATAGTTACAAASCTTCTCTGTCACACTTAAGTTTTTAAGWAATACTGAATCCATTAAAAAGAMRAAAGACATTACTTTTGATACCTTATAAATGTTTTCTCAATGGAGGTAACTTTTAGCAACTTTTGCTGTAAAATGAGGGAAGTTTTGTCTAACTACTGCCCACTGTTCTTGTAAAACTATAAAAATACATTACTTCTCCAAATCTCTGGATATTTGAATAATATATTTTGTTCATATTAAGAAAACACTACATATAATTTTATTTGTAGAATATCAAGTTGAAAACATATAAAAACAACAAAACATATAAACTTGTTAGGAAACCAAACTAAAGTAATAAACCAGTGCATTTGGCTCCATAGTTTAATTTCAATATGATCTTCAGTAAAAACCTTACTCTATTAAACCTGAATATTGTTATCATTCCTCTACTGTATTAAAGAATCCTAAGTCACTTTAACAAACATTCTAATTAATACATCCAATAGCACAAGGAATTTCTGTAGTTGTTSCCATGAAAGTGCACATGGACAATACTATATATGCAAAAGCCAAACCATTTAACAAGTGTGAAGAGATTTGCACTATGAATAAACTGAACACAAGGGAACTCTGAAATTACAGAGCTGTGCTAACACAAAGGCACAGTGTAGATTTTATTTTAAGTGTAAATTCACATTTCTAGAAGGGCTTTTGTGCACAGGCAACTTCAAGTCATCACAGCACAATCAGCCAAACAACTCTAATTGCACATATCTGAACTTTCAATAGAAAGATCTGGCTTCTATTTCTTTAATCCAGTTTTAATATGGAAGAAATTAAATTAGAAACAGAAGGGKTCCCCCTTCCATATTTACAGACTGCAAACTATATTGCTTTCACATCAGAAATTCTAGCTTTCTTGTCAAATTTTGTTAAGCTTTGTAACTATCAGCACCCTCACAGTTTGGTCAAAGGCTCCACAAACACAAAGTCCCTTTTTGTCAGGGCTCCAGTCCAGGCTGGAGATGGGCTGTGTTGACAGAGTCACGTTCTGCAAGAGATTAACAGACCCTGCCACCCCCATCTCAGATCCTTCAGAGTCCTTCTTGGAGCGCTGGGCTGGGTACTCGCTGCCAAAGAGAAAAGTAAAACAAAAACAAGAGCTTAGAATTTATTGATACGAATACATCATCATCCTCTTTATCTCCTGCTCTATACATAAGGCAAATAAATTTCTTAAAAGTAACGATTAATCATATCCAGGTCTATCTACACTGCATACTCTAGTAGACATTTCATAAAAGAAAAAAGGAGGCAGGAAATAATGAATCCTGACACTTCTCTCCTGTAACTCTTCATTTTTTAACTGGTTGGCTTTTGCCACAGGCAGAAAAATTTCATCACAACTATGCTTCTGAAACTTAATGCACCTACTTGCATTTAGGACWATTAAATTATTTTTCCAAATAACATAAGAACAAGTAAATGTAACAATCATTAAAAGTGAAGAGTTTTAGTATTCCTCTCAAATGTAACTGCTACCATATGAGACTTTTAAGAAATGCATTTTTTTTTCTATTTATCACCTCGTTAACCAAGGATATAGTTGGATTTTCATTACATTAAGGACAAAATTCACCTATGCTGTCACATTCTCTTAGGGATTAATTCAACTAATTCACAGAGTACAGATCAAGTACTGACATGGAAATCACCTTTTCTACTGCATTTGTAAGCAATAATTTTAACCAGATATTCTGAGGTTTGAAGCAGGACCCCACTGATCCTTTTCAGAAAGATTCTTTCTTAAAACATTAAATGGTTAGTTTTTCACTCCCATCACTTACTATTTCCAGAGATGAAGGCTCCCAGATCCTCCACTTGTCATAAATATATCTCTGTTCTGTGGCAGGTGCCGAACCTGCCAAATGGTAGATTTTTGTGCCTAATTAAAAACAAAAAAAAAATCAGCATTGTATAGAAGTCATTTAACTTCACAGAAGTTAAAACAGAGAATCTTAAAACAGAGATCACTTGTATCAAGAGAGCCCAGCCTTTCCAGGATGGATGGTTAATTTCACTGTATGATATCTTTTAAAATCATTACTGTAAGGGAATAATATACTACAAACACTGTGCAAACCCAACAAACAGYCAACAATTCAAACCTCAGCCAGGGCACAGCAAGATATAGGAAGAGAAGGGAAAAACCCCAACACGTGTCCCCTGACTTAATGCATATCTGTCTGCAATTGTCCACAAGRAAAAGCTTAAATGCACTAAATGAACAAGAAAATATATTTTTACACTTTGATTATTAAAACCACTAATTCAGTAAAAAAAGTCTTTGATTCAGAATAAAGTACCTCCAACRCCTTACCTGCTTTGAATGCTAATATGGAAAATACTAAGAGATACTAAGTTGAAACTCAGCTTKTTCTAAAAAAAAGGCAGTCCTAAAGAACTTCACTGCAAAAGTGCCTTTTCTCAAAATCACCAGATTTTTTTCACTGAATAAAAAACAAAACCCAAACCAAACCAAACCAAACAAACAAAAAAAAACCCCACAACAACAAAAAAAACCCACAAAACAAAAAAAAAAACACCCAAACAAACAAACAAACAAAAAACCCCACGTTTTATAAAGTAACCTGGGCATTTATTACCTATTTGTACTATACCTGTAGTATTTTGACAGCATGAATTTAGAAAGTTAGTCTCTCACTAAGAAATTCTCAGTCACCCCATACCTTCTCTGAAACAGAAGCAAAACCTTTGGTTGGATGCTGAGTTCTCATATCAAAAACATGGAATTTTCCCTCAAGYGATGTGGCCACCAGCTTATTCATGTTTATATCTTTTCTATCAAACTCCACACTGCAAACCTGAAAACAGAACAAGATACATTCAGTCTTGTAATTTAGCCACAGTTAAAAAATGGGTGTTTTGTGATTTGTAAATATGTATTAAACATGAGTTATTCCTACAACATCACCAATTTGGAAATAAACAAGTTCATCTGAAAACATGAACTCACTGAAAAATACCCCATCCTGTCCTGATCAAGAATGTGAGAGGTACAATTTACTGAACTTAAAGAAAATTAATCCTTGGTATAATCTCAGCAGAAATGTCTTCTGGGTAAGTCTCACACAGATAGAGTTCTTTTAATTTTTCCATCCTGCATGGGAGCTGGGATGAAAATACTTTTATCATTTCCTTACCCCATTCTTAATGTTGGTTTCCCATCGCAGTGACATGGTTTTTAAGTCAAACAATTTAATGTCCCCATTGTCATATCCAGCACATACAACACGTTCCTCTTGATTGTAAGCATTGCCTGGACACAGAGAGAGAATTAATCAGAAAACATAAAACCTCTTTAGCCTCTAAATTTCAGAAGTCCCAGGCCTGCAGTGTAACTTATATTTATACAACAACAGCAGAAAGTTACGGTTGGGATATTAAGATTTGGTGAACCAGATGGTTTTGAAACCTGAAGAGTATAGAAAAATCTTGTGTAAGACACAAGCAGTTTGTTTTCTCCAAAGAAAAATGCAGAGCTCACGCCAAGCACTGTTGTTTTATTTAATTTGCACCTAAGCTTCAAGGGTCTTCTCTTAAATTAASACCTTAATGCTTGGTAGTTGGAACTACACTACAACAGTGATGGGTTGCCATGGCAAYATTTACACTCCTTCAGGACCACACAGCTGGATATAATGTTTTAACATTGCTAGGCACAAAAAAAAGCTTGCACAGCTTTTCTGTGAAACCACAGAATCATCAAATCATTTAGGTTGGAAAAGACCTTCAAGRTGATTRAGTCCAACTACAAATGGTGATTAAAAGTGATTAGAGAGTGAGTCCAAAACCCATCTATTGCAAACCCACAAAACTGGCTTATTCTGAAGAAAAATAAATTTAACAGTGTAGAAAAGCAAAGCCTGCTACTTATACATTCATACAAAATAAAGTATTCCATAACATCCTGAAATACACTGATAATCATCAAAGCACAATCGTATTTGAGGGAAGAATGGTCATAATCTGAGCAAATACCAAATGCCACAGTCCAGCAGTCTCTTTTGCTCTCYCCCTGTACAGGTTCCATATTAGCCACAGGAGTGTCTTTCTGCCTYGGGTCCCACACCTTCACAGTTCCTGGGAAAGACAGACAACAGATTTWGTGTTAGGAATACACTGTCATGTTGCATTCATCTTCCCAGGAAAGCCCTTTGCTTTTCATCCTGCTCATTCAAAAGACATGATCAACTCTTTCAATTCTARAAAACCTGACTGTGTTTAGTGCATGTAAGAAAGAACCACAAAACCAAACACAAATAGAGTGCAAGGAATTTGTTAAGGATATATTTTTTTCTAGCTGGTATTTTGAATTTATTCTGCTTTGCATTCCTTCTGTCTCATGCCCAGTAACAACAGTATCTTTTGCTCATCTGTGGCTTCTAGAAGAATGAAAGAAAATCAGTCCCAAGCAAGATTCAAAAGACAAAGAACTAGTTGYAAAGTGTACACAAAGTGTACCTACAAAGTGTACAAAGAACTAGTTGCAACAGCTTGTAACTAGTTCRGATGGCAGACTGTGCCCTGCCATCRAAAGCTYRTAGAYTCAGAGGAACTGGAAAGAYTTGCAGGGTTCACTAACTCACCATCTCGACTGCCAGTCACAATTTCTGGTGCACCTTCCCCAATTCCTAAGCCACCTACACCATCTATACTGTTTATGATTTCCTTATGACCTTTCACAGAATACACTGGTATTTCAGGAGCTTCTAAATTCCTAGGCAAAAAAAAAAAAAAAAAAAAAACAGAAAACATGGCATATTTCCTTGACACTCAAGATTTGTATAAAAATGAATGGAAACTTGAGCACAAATCATAAATGCTCAGATTAACAGTGAGAACAAATATGGATATCACCCTAAGAAATATGAGTCTTTGTTTGATTTCTTCTTTGGCTGCTGTTTTGGACTGGTCCAAAAGGCTTTGCTCGATTCTGAACCTCCCTCTCCATAAAGGCAGTTGTGGGATTCACTACAGCAACCGTTCAGATTCAGTTTTTATGCTGGGCTCAAGAATGAATCACACTACAGATCAAAATATTCCAACTAGCTTTACTTCAAGTAGTCTATAAAACAACTTGATTCCCACCTAGCTCTGACTACTGCTCTTCAGCTTCAGCTGAATACTGCATGCAGCCATGAGCTTCATCGTTCTTTCCCACTGATTCCCATTCTTTGAGAATTCTTCAGAATTCTATTTTACATTTCAACTAGTGACTGTTCCATATCATTCTTGCTCCTCCAACAAGAACCAGTAGTTCCTCAACACAAAGAAATGTAATAATACTGATAATAAACAATCCCTTTTTGACACTACTACTTTATTTGATAACCAATTTACCTAGGAATTCATTACACAAATAATTCAGGAATCTGAAGGAAACATTTGAAACGTCAAGATTAAAAATACATATTTAATCTAGACATGAACTTTAGGTTGAACATAACCTCTTGTTTGTATTCATGCATCCCTTCAAAAGCCTCTTTTCAGAGGATGACTTCACAAACCTTTAACAGGTTTTTGTTGCTGCACACAGAGGATGGGAGTGAAGCAGCACTGAATTAAATACTGTGCAGAATTCATGTTTTTTCTAAAAAAGAGGCATGGTCCAAATACAGTAGCCAGCAAAGCTCACTCTAGGTCCCAACCATGGGCAGCATGGGGAGCATTTCATGCAAAAGCCACGTACAAAAAATTCTGTTCAGACAGACACAGAACAACATCAAGTGAAAAAACTTCCAGAGAATACTTTTACTTACCATATATTAAGGTTTCCATCAAAATCTCCTGTAGCTAAGTATCTTTGCTGCAGAGAYGTAGCACCAAAAGTTCCACATTTTATAGGTTTGGGCTTTTCGATCTTTTAAGGAAAGGAAAAGTCTGTGTCAGGACATGGAAAAGGCAGAAAGACCCACAAACCATGCAGTTCTTAGGAATGCACAGGGGCAGGTGTCAAGGAAACACACACTTGGTGCAAAATACTATCAAAAYGCTATCAAAGGCAAGCTACACTTGAGTTTAGTCCTTGTACACCAAAAAGCAGAGCGTCCAGTTTTCTGGGCTTAAAGAAAAAACACTTTTGTTTGCTTGTGGCCTAGTGGGGCTTAACTCCCCTGAGGCACTGCTGCCCCTCAGAAAAAACACTCAAAGGACAATATGGGGGAAAAAACAAACAAACAAGCAAATAATCAACCAACCAAAGAGCCCGTAAAAAAAAAAGAATCAAAAACCAAGCGACCAAACAAACAAAAACACAAACAAGCAAACAAACAAAAACCCACCCAAAAAAAACCCCAGACGCAACCAGAAACCTGAAACCTATAACGCAACCCATGAAAACAACGCACAAAACACGGCAGTAAACAGAATCACAGACTCAGTTAGGTTGGAAAAAAACCCCTGCGATCATCGACTCCAACCTGTGACCGGACACAATGTCAACCATGCCACATCCAGGGATGTATCTTCCTTAAACACCTCCAGGGACAGCRACTCCAACACCACCAGTGTCTACTCACACCTTCCGTGAGGAAATTCTTTCTAATGTCCAACCTAAAACTCCCCTGGTGCAGATTAAATCTGTGTCTGCTTGTTCTGTCACTGGTCTCCTGGGAGAAGAGACCGACTCCCGCCTGGCTTCGACCTCCTTTCATGGAGCTGAAGAGACTGATAAGGTCACCCCTTATCAAGAACCGACAGGCTATCCGGAATCAGCGCATTTAACAGGCAAATCGGTTTTTATCGTGGCTCACCTCCCTCAGCAGCTGCAGGCGGGCTCCGTGCAGCTCGTAGAGCTGGATGAGGCCGGTGCCGCGGGCGGCGCTGCCCAGGCACAGCAGCCGGGCGCTGCGGGGCACCCACTTGCAGTCGAACACCGTGTAGCTCAGCCCCTGCTGGACGTGCGACACCACCTGCGGCCGCTCCAGCCCCGAACCCACCGACATSCCGATCCCGCCCCGCTCCRGCCCCGGCGGATGCGGACGGAGCTCCGGCCGCCCCTTCCGGCGGCAGCGGCACCACGTGTGCTCCGCGGCCGACATGGACACCGAGGCGGCGGCGGCGGGCGGCTTCACCAGCGTGGTGTCGCGGCGGAGCCGGAGGAAACGGCGAGCCGGAGCGGCCATGGACACGGCGGAGCCGAGGCCCAGCAAGCGGCCGGCTTTCCCTCCTGTGGCCGCCGAGGCAATCGGGGTACGCGGGGCGCCGGGGAAATGGCACCCCCCGATCGCCCGCCGAACCCCGCCTCATGCTGTGTCTGTCTCTCGCCCCCGGCAGGTTGGGAAAGGCGAGCTGAGGAAGATCCCCGTGCCGGCCAACAGGTACACGCCGCTCAAGGAGAACTGGATGAAGATATTCACGCCTATCGTGGAGCATCTGCAGCTTCAAATCAGGTTCAACTTGAAAACGAGGAATGTTGAGATCAAGGTAAKGGGAGTGACTTTTCCTGCCTTCCCCGTTCACTAGAAGAGGTCATGTGCGGATCTCAGAGCACCTTCCAATATCTGATGGGGCCTCTGAGGAAGGCAGGAAAAGGGCCCTTTGTGGGGAACTGTAGTGACAGGACAAGGAGTAATGCGCACAAATTGAAAGAAGGGGAATTTAATTTGGGTGTTCGGAAGAACTTTTTTACCGTGACTGGTGAGACACTGAAACAGATTGCCCAGGCACGCCCCAAGCCTGGCAGTGTTCAAAGCCAGCCTGGTTTAGTGAGAGATGCCCCTGCCCACAGCAGAGRGCTTGGGGATAGATGATCTAATGGTCCACTCCAATCCCTCACCATTCCATGATTCTGCCTCCTGGAAAGCAGGGCCTCTCCTCATGGGTGTTTTTGGTTCACAGATTAAAAATTAGAAGAGTCATAAATCCCATATAATGCTTGGAAAAAGAAGCTGTGTTATCACCTCACCARGGCTCAAATCTGGCAATTGCTGCTTTGTACAAGTAGTGACTGCAAGTAAAGTCCAAAAATATAAATCTGTTCCAGGAGCTAGCAGAAGCTGAGCGAGTGTTCAATTTCTGTAGGAGAAAATTATGTACTGTAGCATTAAGAAGTATTTTCATCGATGTCTGAGATATGATTTTGTAATGCAATGTTTTCCAGCTTTATGGCTACTAAATATTTACCTGACAGTGAGGGAAGAGTATCTTTTCAGGGGGCACTGAATCTTCTAATGCCTTTGCTTGTGGCAGATGGTAAGGGCCCATAGTTTAATAGCATGTGATTTTTCTWGAACATATTGCACTGGAATGCCTTTGGGCACAGATACCAATATAGATGTGTAAATGGTGTAGATGCTCATTCTTTATCCTTATTCCTCCTYATGAACGTTCACACTGAGAGTTTTTAAGGGCATATACAAAGTTTTRACATATCACTCACTGTATTAGCAATGTTGACATATGAGATCTTCCAATRTAATAATGAAAATACAGACAACATCATGAATTTTGCTCCCTAACCACRAAATGTTATCACAAGTTTGATGGCAGGAACTGGAGGAAAGGTGACAAATTTATCCCTTGTTTGCACATCCCAGAAATAACTACAGGGGAAAGGTAGGGAGGAGCCAGAACATCTGCAGCTTCACTCAGTAACTGTGCTGGAGAAAAACACCACCTTTTGATATGAAATGATATCTGGTGARAAGCAAGGTAGTTTTGTTCTTAAGCTGATTTCATTTTGKCCAYAATCCATCATGAATATAAAACTTTRAAATTAGTTTGACCTCACCTGCTAAGGCATCTTTTGAATACTGTGATTAGAATAACTCTCCTGCCATTATCATCCTTCTCTTTTTTCTGCTGTTTGTGTTGGTTTTGGGTTTTCTCCACCAAAAGGGTTCTCAGTCAGTGGTGGTATGGATTTTCAGCAGCTTCTCTCTTCTTTCCCCTTCAAGCACAAGTTAATATTTTAAGTCCTGATCCTAACTTGCCTGGTCATAATTTGCAAACATAACTTCTTTTCTTGCAGACTTGTCAAGAAACAAAGGATCTCAGTGCTCTGACAAAAGCAGCTGATTTTGTGAAAGCTTTTATACTTGGATTTCAAGTAGAGGTGAGTCTCCCAACAACCTGATTGTGAGATTTGCTGATCTGTCCCTTGCCTATCTGGAAATTACAGTAAGAAACAAATACAGAAAAATCCTTAGGTGGTTTTCTAGAAATAAGTGTTTGAAATTGTGACTGGAGTAGACATCCAGTTTCTTAAGATAATGCTGAATAAAAAAAGTAGCTTTCAAACAGCACATAATTAAGATTATGAAACAGAGGACATAGTTAGGTTGTGTGAGACAAGATTAAAGCAATAATCTGTCTGTGAGGCACTCAACACAGGTAGGCTGTTCATTTTGCTTTGGCCCAAGCCAATAACCTCCAGTCTGTGCAAAACTCACAGAAGGACAGTATTAACTAGGCTGGAAAAGATTTTTGAGATCATCAAGTCCAACCTGTGGCCTTACCAACTAAACCATGGCACTGAGTGCCACATCAGCCTTTTTTTAAACACCTCCAGGGACAGCCCATTCCCATGCTCAGTCACTCTTTCTGTGAAGAATTTTTTCCTCATGTCCAGCCTAAACTTCCCCTGGCGCAGCTTAACACTCTCTCCTCAGCCTGTCACTGGTTGCCTTGGAGAAGAGACAATGACCCCCACCTAGGTAGACCCTCCTGTCAGACAATTCTAGTGAGTGATAAGGTCTCCCTTGAACCTCCTTTTCTCTAGGCTTAACAACCTAGAAGCTCCCTCAGCTTCTCCTCACAGGGCTTGTGTTCCAAACCCTTTGTCAGTCTTGYTGCCCTTCTCTGGACACATTGGAGCACCTTAACATCCCTCCTGTTGGGGCACCCAGAACTGGACACAGCACTCAAGATGAGGCCTAAGCAGTGCAAAGKACAGTCCCTGTACAGCCCTGCTGGCCATACCATTCCTGATACAGGCCAAGTGTCACYGGCCTTYTTGGCCATGTGGGCACACYGCTGMTGCGAGTTCAGTCAGCTGTTGACCWGCACYYCCWGKTTTCTTTCTGCCTGGCTGCTGTCCAGCCACTCTGTCCCCAACCTGTAGCACATGCAGRGGGTTWCTGTGGCTAGTGTAGAACSCAGCMACTGGACTTGYTAAWCRTMWTRTTG